TGCTTGTTATTGGTATATAGAAAGGCTATAGACTTTTGTAGGTTAATTTTGTAACCTGCCACTTTACTGAATGTATTAATAATTTCTAGGAGTTTTCTGGTAGAATTTTTGGCATCTCTTAGATATCATATCTGCATAAAGGGATAATTTTTGATCTTTTCTTTTCCAATTATTACTTGCGGGGCCTTTTCCCTGCAAGCAGCACGATGGGGGCCGAGGAGAGGCAAGTGTGCTGCCATCCTAACCCTCCGTTCCCGGGGCACCACCAAGGAGGCAGGGAGTCTGTCTTGCAGGATCTCATTTATTAAGCAGCAGGCGGGTGTTTATATACATTCGTGAGTATTGGGTGTTTTGCCCCCCCGTCCTCCCCCGAGACGTGATTGGTCATAGTTATAAGTCCCAATTAGCATTTTAGCTTTTTGTTTCCCCGATCAGTTAAGTTTCCATTTTTTATCTCCTTTTGCCCACATGGCCGGGCCAGGAGCGGGAATCTCCTCCCCCCAGCGGGGTGTGGTTTTTCTTCCTCATAGCAGGTCCAGGTGTTGAGATGAGATACAGGAGTTGGTGGGGGCCCACCAACGGTCTTTTGAAGCTGGTCCAGCTGCTTCTTTTGGCCTTTTTGCCCTCTGCCTTCTGCCTCAGGCCCCTACACTGTAACCTAGTGATTAAGAGAAAAAGGCATGTCAGGTGTTAGGCACATAAGGGTGCAATTACGTCAAGTACCATAGAGGTCAAAGATTGTGTGAAGGGGTGTGTGTGTGTGTGTGTGTGTGTGTGTGTGTGTGTGATAGTTGTAATAGGCAACATAAACCAGTACAGGCCAAAACAGAATATTCCATACTTAGAACAATGTTAATCATGCAATCTGCATATAATTCAAGGGTACATGATGTAGGAGTGCATGGGGAGTGTGATATCAAGAAGATAATCCAAGATTATCTAATTATTCTTGGAATATGATTCCTTTTTGGCTATAAGAAGGCAAACGAGAGGTGGTAAGGCTATAGGTTGGGAGGTGAGTGGTTCAAAGAAGTTGAAAAGGAAGGCAGCTTGCTCTGGGGCCTAAATAACACCAGCTACCCTATGGCACTGTACAGCCCCACGTTTTTTTTTAATCTTTAGTTGGCTTTGGAATTAGAGTGACGTTGGCTTCACAGAAGGAATTTGGAAGTTTTCCCCTCATTTCTATCTTTTTGAATAAATTAAGTAGTATTGGATGTAGATCTTCTTTAAATGTCTGATAGAATTCTGCTGTAAATCTATCTGGTCCTGGACTTTTTTTGGTCGGGAGGTTTTGTATTACTATTTCAATTTCTTTTTGTGTTATGGGTCTGTTTAACCTGTTAATCACTTCTTGGTTTAGTTTTGGTGGTTCCCATGCCAGATATCTGGCCATTTCTTTCAGGTTTTCAAATTTAGTAGCATATAGGTTTTTAAAGTATTCCCTTATAATGCTCTGTATCTTTCTGGTGTCTGTTGTGATGTTTCCCCTTTCATCTCTGATTTTGTTGATTTGGAGGTGCTCTTTCTTTCTTTTGGTTAACTGGGATAGCGGTCTGTCAATCTTATCTTTTCAAAGAAGCAGTTCTTGGATTCATTGATTCTTTGAATTGTTTTGTTTTAATTTCATTAATTTCCGCCCTGATTTTTGTTATTTCTTCTTGTCTGCTGGTTTGTGTTTCCTTTGCTGTTGCTTTTCAAGTGTCTTGAGTTACAACGTTAAGTCATTTATTTGTATTCTTTCCAATTTTTTGATGTAGGCACTTAGAGCTATAAACTTCCCTCTAAGGACAGCTTTCAGCATGT